TGACTGATTTACTGACTGGCTGATTTACTGATTGACTCATTTAGTGACTGACTGACTGACTGATTTACTGACTGATTTACTGACTGGCTGGTTTACTGATTGACTCATTTACTGACTGACTGACTGACTGATTTACTGACTGACCGATGGACTGATTTACTGACTGACTGACTGATTTAGTGACTGATTGATTTAGTGACTGATTGATTTAGTGACTGATTGATTTAGTGACTGATTGATTTAATGACAGATTGATTTACTGAATGACTGATTGATTTACTGAGTGTTGACCCTAACCAGTCAGAGCTGTTGTCTGAGGCAGATCCTGTTTTTAGAAAGTTGTTATAATAAAGGTTTAAAGGGTCGGTGAGTTTCCATGGTTATAGATGAATAACAATAGTTCAGTGGGAGAAATGGACGGACAGAGAAGTTCAAACCCCATCAGCACCTCCTTTCTCTGCAAATCTCACAATTCTAACCTTCCACCACAAAGCGGGTGAATCCAAATGAAGCACAGAGTTAACATAAACTCTGGAATGTTGCCTTATTTGGTTCTGGCCTGGACTTTTGTCAGGCCCTGAAATGTACATCCAGACCAGCCCACTGGTTCACTATCATAACTGCAGCGTTCCAGGCTGACTGGAGAAAGGGCAACATTTTCAGTCTTCCCAAGGATCCAAAGCTTGACAGGCATGGATTATTTTAGTCTATCAGAAGATCTCTGCAAAGTTTGATGCTCAGCTGTTCATTTGCTCTAAACATTTTACCAAAGACAGCTTTCAAAATCTTAGAAAGTTCAAAGCAGAACTTCTTTCTCTGAAACGAGGGGCTGTTCCCATCGTAAGGCCATCCCAAGCGCAAGCTGGAAGGATGATTCTGTCGCTAAGCTGTTCATAGCAATGCTAGCATGTCTATGGTGACCAGATATGGGTTTCTGAAAAAGAGGGGGAGGGGCTGCTGGGCTCCTGACTGGACCGGACCGGGCATTGAACCGAGCCGTGAGCTCCGAGGATGGTCCGAGAACCCCGGCGGCCGGGGACAGAGCGACAGAGCCCGACCCTGCCTCACTGGGCAGGCGGGAAGTACAGGGCCACGGCTACTGTCACCGGGTCAGGTTCAGGGGCTCTGTCCCCCGCTGGCTCCCAGCCCCAGAGCTCACGGCTCGGTTCTGCTGCACTGCAGTCGACCAAAATACTGGACAATTTCCAAATTCCCCCCAGACATTTTTTTAGGTCTGAAAAATAGGACATGTCGGGGAAAAAGAGGATGTCTGGTCTCCCTACCATGTCAACAATCTGATGTTTCAGTGAGTGAGTGCTTGTTGCTATGATGTGTCTTTGCTCAGCAGCACAGCTCATCTAAATATCCATGATCAAACCATAACAGGAAGAAAACCTCTTGTTTCATTCTAGGGCTTTTAACCAGGCTGCATTAGGGCTCATAGAACAGCAAATATGCCATTTTCAGCCCAACCAATGTTACACACCCTATTAGAGACCTTAAGGACCAGATACCTTATAGAATCATTCTATCCCCACTTTATTTAAAGCTCAGAAGGCCGTCGTTAGCATTTGTGAATCCGCCTGTTGTTGTTTTAATGTTCATGATTACCCTTTGGCTAATCCTTGCAGATATTTCCAAAGCCAAGCCTCAAGCCGCAGTTAGAAGGAAACGGATGGCGGACAAATCTACCAGCACCTCTGACCCGGTCACTGAGGATGACCACGAACAGGTACACAGACGGCACCACAATAGATGGTCATTGGTTAGATGGTCTCCATTTGAAGGCCAATCCAATAATGTCTGAGGAGAATCTTTGGCTGTGTCTGAATGTCCGCCCTCATCCCTGTATAGTGGCTACACCATGTTCATTGAGTGTCCGAGCCGCCATGACCTGATCCGTCCTTCCCATGCGCTGTCAGCTCATAATCATCCACATATTCTTCTGGGTTGCCCTCCATTTTATTTTGTTAAAAAGACCTAAATTATGTTTTTCCCTCCTTAAAAATATTAAGCGTACTAAACTATAATATATTAAAGGTTTTAAATGTATTTTCTGAGAAAATAAATGCATTAAGATCCTTTGGATTTAAACATAAGTCTAGTCTTTATGAGTTTAATGTTTTCCTTTCATGTTAACCTTATGCTATATGGTGCGTAATCTAAAGAGAGAAAAAACTAGAATGCAGATAAACGTGATTTAATCAGATTTATTGCTCTGAACGTGTCCCATGATGATGTCAGAGAAGCTGTTTAATGGAGAAAATGGAAAAAGCATCAAAATGATCTCAGAAAAAGTCATAAAATATTTTCTAAAGAAGAGTATTAGCATTTGTTAGAGAGTTAAGGAGAGAAATGAATAATTTTAGAACCATAGCTTCATTTCTTATGGAAACTCTGATGTATATCTGTTGGCGCATGGGTAGAACAGATCAGGTAGTGACACCAACGTCTACTAGATGAAAAAGTAAAGGACTTGAAATTTCTCACAATGCACCTTGAAAAGTAGTGATCATCCATGGTCACTAGATGAGCAGATATATCCCATGATGCTTTGCTAGGAGAGCGCTTCTCGCAAAGCATCATGGGATTTGTTGTTACAGCGACCCGCCGTTGCCTACGGCTGCTGCTTCCTGACAGCGGTGATAGATATCAAAGATGGCGCAGGCTCCATGTTAGGAGGCAGCGTTATGAGGCCAACCGGGAGCTAAAAGTAGTGATCATCTATCTGAACGGTCAGTTAGCTGAGCTCACTATAGAGTTCACTATATAATCCCCGCTCTCTATAGTGATGGAGGGATGTAGTGGTCAGGGCGGACGGTCGGACGCAGCCTAAGAAGCTAAAGGTTCAGCTGAGCTCTGGTTTTATTACCACCATGTTTCCTTTGGACGTAACAGTTCCAAAGCCCAGGTAGAAGATTGTGCCTTTAGTTTCTGTGGGATTCTGATGTCGGGATTCTGATGTCAGCATTCTAGGGGCCCCTGGCATCCTCTGGGGGTCCTGGTATCCTCTGGGGGCCTTGGCATCCTCTGGGGGCCTTGGCATCCTCTGGGGCCCCCGGCATCCTCTGGGGGGACTTGACATCCTCTGGGTCCCCTGGCATCCTCTGGGGGCCTTGGCATCCTCTGGGTCCCCCGGCATCCTCTGGGGGCCTTGGCATCCTCTGGGTCCCCCGGCATCCTCTGGGGGCCTTGGCATCCTCTGGGCTGCTTGGAACCAGGCGTTCTGAAGAAGAACATCAAGCTGAACCATCTGTGGTTCTTCAGCAGCACCACGATCCTAAACACCTGCAGAGCAGCTGGCTTGGAGTGGCCTAGTCAAAGTCCTGAGCTGAATCTTGTTGAAATGCGGGAACCTGACCTTCAAACGTCTCGTGGCTGAAATGCAACAAAATCTCCTCCACATCTGGAAGAGACTCCCTGCAAATTTTCACCGCCGCCTGATTCCAGTTGTTGCTGCCGGCGGCAGCCCTACCCGCCATCACCGCTCCTCCTCACTGGGCCACGAAGGTTTCAACAGCAATGAGAGCTTTGATCAACATGGAACAAAGACAGATCAGGAAGGGCGCAAATACTTTCCCCCCACTGCAGGACATCAGCAGGACCTCTGGTTCAGCTCCCAAACTGAACGGCTGATTGTTTAACTCAACCTGTTATTAATGAACGTTGGCAGGAGGCACAGCTGATTAAAGGGGAGGGCTGACATCTCGCTGCGTTTACAACATGGCTGACCTTCTTTAATGACATTTCCTTCTTCTTGTTCTCGAACAGGTTTTGTCCCTGAAGAGTAAGAACCTGGTGGGCATCACTCTGACCAACTGTGGGATCACTGACCTGGTCCTCAAAGATTGTCCCAAGATGATGTTCATTCATGGTAACTAAGGGAAACCACCCGCACCTTTCCTCCTTTAAGGTTTACTGTTTTATGTTTAGAGGAAAAATGAAAATCAGTCCCCAGATCTGTAGGAAAAGCGTTTTCTTCAATGTCCGTATTAAATAACTAAACAGATATAGTATGAAAGATTATCCCTTTAAAGAGCGTTAAAATGAAAACGTTGAATAGAAATGGACCAATCAGGAGGCTCTGCTCATGGTCCCGGCACACATGGTGAAAGACGGCGGCGCTGCAGGACTCGGCTGCCCGAGCTGCAGGAAAACGAAGCATCAGAGTAAATCAGCTGATGTTTAGTTGGTGAATCTGCTCACATGGATCGGCTTCTCTCTACGTAAAGCCAATCTTCCTTTTTCTTCCTCTGATTACATGATAAGAATGAAACAATGATCAGAAATATGTAAACCAAAAATAAATATTTACTAACAGATCAAATGAAAGATGAGCAATGGCTGCAGATGGAGGGAGCAGCGCTGCATGTGCTTCAGGTGAGCTCATGGCGGGGCTGCTGTACGCAGCGACCAATCCACCAGCGCTTGCTTTTATCAGCAGCTACAGGAGAAGCTAATATTGGCCCAGATTATCAGCAGGCAGGAGAAGCTAACATTGGTCCAGATTATCAGCAGACAGGAGAAGCTAATATTGATCCAGATTATCAGCAGACAGGAGAAGCTAACATTGGTCCAGATTATCAGCAGACAGGAGAAGCTAACATTGGTCCAGATTATCAGCAGACAGGAGAAGTTAACATTGGTCCAGATTATCAGCAGACATGAAAAGCTAATATTGGTCCAGATTATCAGCAGGTAGGAGAAACTAACCTTGGTCCAGATTATCATCAGACAGGAGAAGCTAATATTGGTCCAGATTATCAGCAGGCCGTATAGCTGTGGTCCCAGTTTTCCCCTGATCAGATCCTACAACAACAGGATCAGGAAAAAACACTCATAAATGTTTCTGTAAAGATGGGAAGGAAAACACTGAAGCGCTTCCTGTCTGTGGGCGGTTAGATCATTGGAGGATAACTAGAGGCTGCATGAGGCCGTTTAAGCTCAGTGATCTACTTAGTGTGGCTGGCCCGTTAACTTCTCACACCCCCAGCCTGGTACCACCATGTCCTCCTCTGATCCAGGGACCTCAGGCCTCTTGATCTGATCAGGTCCTTTTCACATAATGATCGTTCATCATGAAGTTTCTGTGTTCTCCACTAGAGGGCGACTGAATGGTTGGCAGGCTGCTCATCTGGTCCATATTGCCGTCTTTTCTCCTCCAATATGCGCATCACCGTTTCATCAGTGCCTGGAGGTCACCTAACGCACCTTCATTACCGCTCCTGGTCTGATACTGTGTCTGCTTCCTGGGCTGCTTCTGGTTCTGCCTTCTGGGTCTGCTTCCATGTCTGCTTCCTGGTCTGCTTCGTGGTCTGCTTCCGTGTCTGCTCCCTGGTCTGCTTTGCTTCCGGGTCTGCTTCCGGGTCTGCTTCCTGATCTGCTTCACTTCGTGGTCTGCATCATGGTCTGCTTCCGTGTCTGCTCCCTGGTCTGCTTCGCTTCCGTGTCTGCTTCACTTCCTGGTCTGCTTCTTGGTCTGCTTCGCTTCCTGGTCTGCTTCCTGGTCTGCTTCCGTATCTGCTTCCTGGTCTGCTTCGCTTCCTGGTCTGCTTCTGGGTCTGCTTCCGTGTCTGCTTCACTTCCTGGTCTGCTTCTTGGTCTGCTTCGCTTCCTGGTCTGCTTCCGTATCTGCTTCCTGGTCTGCTTCGCTTCCTGGTCTGCTTCTGGGTCTGCTTCCGTGTCTGCTTCACTTCCTGGTCTGCTTCTTGGTCTGCTTCGCTTCCTGGTCTGCTTCCGTATCTGCTTCCTGGTCTGCTTCCTGGTCTGCTTCCGTATCTGCTTCCTGGTC